TCTTCTCCTGATCCTCCGGTGCAATCGGAATCTGGAAGTACCCAGACATGCCATCCAGGAAGCAGTAGAACTCATGGCCCGCCAACCTCTCCAGCATCAGGTCAATGAAAGGTAGGGGAAAATGATCTTTCCTGGTGGCGTCGTTCAGGCGCCGGTAATCGATGCAGACTCTCCAGCCGGTCACGGTCCGCATCGGGATCAACTCCTTCTTCTCGTTCGGGACCACAGTCATCCCGCCTTTCTTCGGGACCACCTGAGTGGGGCTGACCCACTTGCTATCAGATATAGCAAAAATGATCCCTGCATCCATGAGCTTCACGATCTCTGCCCGGACCACTGCCTCCAAGTTAGGAGACAATCTCCTCTGCGGCTGTCTGACTGGCTTAACCTCATCCTCCATTAAGATTCTGTGAGAGCAGAAGGATGGGCTAATGCCTCTGATGTCAGTGATCTTCCATGCCATGGCCCGGGCATACTTCTGCAACAGAGCCACCAGCTTGCTCTTCTGCTCGGGGGTCAGATCCGAGCTAATAATAACCGGGAGCTTATTCCCCTCCCGGAGAAATGCATACTCCAGATGAGATGGGAGGGGTTTAAGCTCCAACTCTGGTGGCTCCTCCAATGATGTAGCGAGCCGGGGCGAGACAGGAATCGGCTTGAATGGCATCTCTCGCCCCTCGCTCGCAGCCTCGTCCAGCTCCGCCAGCTGCTCCGCCAGCTGCACATCCTGTGATGCCTGTTCCCCTAGCAAAAGACAACGCTCAAGGAAATCATCAGTACCCGCACTCGTGATGGCGAGTGCGGTCTCAAAATCAGCAACAACATCACAGTAATCAAGATCATCATGGAGCTGGGGGTGTTTCATATTATCAGAAACAGAGAAGGTGATTTGTTCACCCCCAGTTTTTATTTCTTGTTCACGTTGTGTGGATTGTTGACTTGGAACTATGGTATTTCACCCATTGTGTGTGTTCTGTTGGTTCTAGCTCTGTGCCCATCGGACTGGTCCTTGTCCAGTCCTCTGCTTTTGACTGGTCCGCCATCCAGTCAACGTTCCTGACCACTGTTTCACGGTAACATCGTTCCCCTTCCCTTCGCTCCATTGAGGACACTGTCGCATTTAAGTGTGGGGGGGTTCTTTGTATTTATTGGAACGTATATATGGGTGCTTGGAGCCTAGTCCGCTGTCCGAATCTTACGATTTGAGGGCTCCGAGCACTGCTGTTTGTTCATATTGGCACTGTGTTTTGTTTGATGAATTGATTGGTTTTCGGATTAATGCATGACAACTTGTTGCGACTAGGACAACCTATGATAAGGACTGAGATGTGCAGTAGAACGATGTAGGGGTTCAGTTTTTCAACTGTTTGCTTGCCAACTGTGACTTGATCTGACTTGATCTGATTACTTGTTCTTGACAGTCGTTTATGCATCTAGTTCAGGGTCTCAGAATGTGAGATAGAGCATATAGGTAGCCATGTGAGATTTGAGCCTGCTCGTTTCTTTCTTGTGCGATAGATCCCTCTTCCATGATGTGTAGCATTCACGTTGTCACTAGCTGAGATGATGGGGGCATAGGATTAGCCCACGCCCAAAACTGACTGTCCTGATGTGTCATATCCCCTAGTCAGCCCCTTTGAGCCGTGTGTTATCCTTTCTTTTGGTCTACAATGAAAAAATCACCCTTGTTGCATCTTTTAGAAGGTTCCACAGAGTGGTTTTTACATATTCTCTGCTGTTTCTGCTAAAGTTTATGTGAGTGTTGGAGGTAGTGCTTAAAAGTTGGGCAGGTGTTTGAAATTTATGCAGAAGTGGTGGCTCTCTTAAGAAATGAAAAGAAAAATAAAAGAAAAACAAAGAAAAAATTGAAAGCAAAAGAGAGCCACTACCAAAAATCTGAATAATGCCCAGTAAGTAGTGTTTCTTAGCAGTCTGGCTTGGAAATGCTGATGTTTATGCCTCCTTCGCTCTTGTGCTCATAAGATATCGAGTAATGCAGGATAGCAGAAAGAAAATACCGGTTTGTTTGACTGTGGTTGTGTGTTTGGGAAATGTGGAACCTTTTGCTTTGAATACTTCCACCACCTAAAAGGCCTTTTCCCCATGTCCAAGACCCTAGCCAGTCATTTGAACCTGTGTCTAAGACCTCCTGATTAGTTAGTGGTGACATCCCATATGTGAACTCTAGCATTTAGAGGCTGCCATCATGGTGAAGAGATGATAGGGATTGAGAGAAATAGCATGCGCATTTTTCGCATCAAATTGTCCTGACCCCACTGGTCGAGAGTGAGTGATTCATTTCCATTTTCTATATGCTCTTGTACCCCGGTGAGAACCTAGATTGCTCGGTCTCTATTCTGATGTCTTGACTTGGATGCATGAGTTGACTGTTTTGGGTAAGTGGTTGAATCAAGTCTAGGTTGGCCAGTGCACAGAAGGGAGACTCTTCCTTTACTCGATTTGCTGCACTCGAATGTCCTTTGTGGTGGTTGTCCAGGTTGCTAATAAAGTTGTTCATGTGTTGATGTTTGAGAATCAGTTTGATTCACGTGTTTTGTGCCTTTATGACTTGTCCCCGATGTTGGTTGACTGAATTATGTGAGCTTACCTTGTGTAGTACTTGGTTTGCTTGGGGACAAGCAAACAGTTAAGTGTGGGGGAATTTGATAGCATCGTATTTGCACGTGTTTTCACTCTGATTTCCTATCCATTTTGGCTCGAATTGATTGTTCCTTGGCCTATTTTACGCTAGGTTGTGTTGTTTTGTCGTATTTCAGGTCCTAGCAAGTAAAGAGGAGCAAAGGCGCAAGTTTCGGGTCATTTGGAGGTCAATTGGCGAGTCACAGAGTGAATTACGGGCAGGCCCTGCTAAATTACGGCCGTAATTAGCCAGGGCATGCCCGTAATTAATTGGCCGCGCATTCCCCCAGCAATTCTTCTCGGTGGTGAAATTACGGGCAAGACCCCCAGTAATTACGGCCGTAATTCCCAGATTACTGGCGGTAATTGGGAGATTACGGCCGTAACTTCTCCTCTGCCAGCTTAAGAGAAACGCGCGTTTTGGTGCGAATTACGGGCAGGAAGTGATTACGGCCGTAATTCTGCCCGTAATTCGCCCAGAGTCGGGTTTTTGAAGGCAGATTCGAGCCAAGGAGAGGGAATTGGATTTTCTGGGCAAAAACAGAGTTTTAGAGAGAGAAAGAGCGAAGAACAAACCCTAGGAGCTATTTTGGAGTGGATTTCTCATCATTGAAGCCCAGATTGCGTCCCTAGGAGTGAAGATTGACATCCCAGAGCAGATTTTCCTCATCTTTATGAGTATGGCTACTCTGATTTCTGTTTTCCTTTCTCTCTCTATGGAGTAGAACCTTTCTCTCACTTGGGTATGAAGAACCCTAGTTCCTTGTGTTAGGGATTTGATTGTAATGACTTGGGATGATATTATTGTTTGATTTTAATCGAATGATGCATGTTTCATGAATTGATTTGAGTCTGATCAGCTTGTTTCAATTTCTGCTTCAACCTGAGATAGATAGAATCTGATTAGGTTGTTAGAGCTTCTTCATTCGATAGTAGGAGATTGGCTGTACGAGAGTTAGCCAGTTTACTGCTTTGTACTGGTGTTCTTGACGCCAGTAGTGGAGTTCTGTGTTCATAGCCTCAGCTTTCTATCCCGGTGAAGACTAGTCGTCTGCCGGGTAGTTGGACTGAGAGGGCTTGGTCAGCTTAAGAGATTCCAAGCTACTGTCGGATCTTCCGCAGTCTAATCAACAGTAAATCAACCCAGGGAATTGCAATTGAACCTAACTAAGGGGCTAGGGGGACTCAATCCCGAGTGACTCTTAACTGCTTTTGAAAACCGAACCATTTCCTGCTTTCTTACTGCTTTTGCTTTAAACAACACTCACTCGACTTAGTTTGCTAGATAATAGAGAATCACGGAGTAAGCAGTAGATCTAGACCCCGGGTTGATAATTAAACTTGCCTTCACTACAGTCCCTTTCAGTGGTTACACTTGGCCATTGTTAGGTGTTGTGTTTTAGCTTGTCATTCTCCAAGGCTACGACGTCAGGTTTATCATTCAATGTCACTTTATCGTGTTGTCGGTATAAAATTTCTTCGTCGGCTGGCGCATATCCACTTTTCACTTCCATTGACCTCTCAATTTTTGAAAAAAATACTCAAGATTGCGCTAACCTCCTCTTTCATTTCTTCAAGCCCAATCACACTTCTCTTGATGTCATCTAAATCCCTCTGAAATGCCTCCATGACGAGCTTGACCTTGGATCTTGTCGAGTACTTAAGGATTTGACTTTTCCTCGTAGAGCAATTTTAAGAAAACCTAGGCATGTCTTAACATTGTTAAATTCTGTCCATCTTTTTGATGAAGGGGTATGCGTGATACTTGTACAAAATGACAATGATGTATGAATGCAAAAATGATTTTTAGGGATGCATGCGATTTTTCTTAAATCTTTTTATGATAAATTATGAATGAGTGAAAGAGAATTTTATGAGAGAATGATGTTTATGAGTTTCGAAAACACTTTTCATTCATACTATCACATAATTTTATGAGTAGAAGATAAAACGCATAGCATTAAATCGTAAGCAAACATACATTTAAATAAACAAACACATATAATTACATCATCACCCGTATTTAGGAAGACCTAGGCTTGCACAACGACATGGTTTTAGGGTGGTTTCGGGATTTTTTTGGACTGTTTAGGGAGGCCTCTATGCTTACTATTTGTTGGGAGAGGAATTCCTAGGGATTTGGCTCCCAAATTGTATCCTGCCGTAGTCCTTTCGAACTGGAAGGATACCTCAAGATCAACCTCGGATCCGAGTTCAACTTGGTTGGAAGGTTTGGCGTGGCTTCCACTATTGTGGAAATCACGTTACTCGTTTCGATTTTCTAAATGGACAGCTCGGGTATAGAAATTTTATGCGTGATTGCATAATTTAAATTGCGAAAATATAGTTGCGCAAATGAGTAGTAAACACCCAACAGATAATACAAATTTAGAAAACCTATCGAACTTAGTTATGTTGCTCGACCCTCGAAGGTCCCCAGCGGAGTCGCCATCTGTCGCAACCGTCCCTCCGGGGGTCCGTCGGGGTCGCATTCCCTTTTTGGGAGTCACCATCGATCTTACTTGGAGTTGATCAAACACTCTTCGAATCGGCTCTAACCTTAGGGTCAGAACCGGGACATGGTCTGCAGTTAAGAGATTCGGGTTCGTGAGTACGGTTATGTGTGGGGAAGTGAAATCACACCCCCACAACACCCTAATTATTAATATATTGCTTATGACTTAACTAATACGTCATTGGACGTTTAGTTCATGATTGGATATTTTAGATATTTTTAGGGCCTTACTGGACACTAAAGAAATTAAATCGTACTAATTGTAATTTTATTATACGCCCACTGGCATAAAAATTAAAAGATAAAGTTAATTGGTTAGTTGGACTCGAAACTTATCGCTTGCCTACGTACCCGTAACACGGGATCAAAGTCCACGTATTTCGTTGGGAACTTTGATCGTTTTAATTATAACTTTTACCACGTTCCACTTAACGTAATTTTCGTATTATAATTTTTTGATAAAACTTCATTTAGATTATTATGAGATCATGACAATAAATGCAAGGATTTTAGTTATTAGGAAGTATTTTGACGTATTAGAAAAGAAACAAGATAAACTTAATCCGCATTCAACATTTCGTATTAAGGATTTTAAAACGGGTTAATTGCAAGGATGGTCACTGGGTTTACTAAAACCGTTTATGTTTGGTCACTGCAAATATTTAATTCCATTCATGGTCATTAAGATTAGTTCAATAGTTCAAGTTTGGTCACTCTCCGTTAGTCTCCGTTAGTTTTTGCTGATGTGGCAGTCAACTATTATAGTTGACTGTTAAATGAGTGACGTGACCATTAAAAAATAATAAAATAATAAAATTTAAATATTTACAATTTCCACCTCATTTTACAACTATTAAAAATAAAAATAAAACTTACCTCCTCTCCAACGCCGTCGCCACCACGGATCTCCGATTCAGCCTCCTCTCCTCCAACTCCTCCCTCGCGTTCACGCTCAACGCCGTCGCCAAATCCTCCTATTCTTGAATCAAATATGGGGTTTTGCTTGACAGAGGTTGGTTTCCATCACATAAGCCAGTGTCGATTTGTCTCCATAAGCCGACGAGGGGTTGTCTCCATCACAGAAATCGAGGGCGGAGTTCTTATTCTGTGCATCTCAAAACACAGTCACGATTCTCCATCCCTCCGACGAGGATAACGATGAAAATAAGTCCCGGACTCCAAAAAGCCACCACCACACTATGTAAACATACTCCTGGCCGGACTCAATAGCTATCTATATACCTAAACCTGCCTTTCTCCCTGTCTCCCCAAACTAGCTAGAACCCACTCGCTCGGTAGTCACTCCCTATCTTTCTATAGTTCCAATATTTGATATGGAAGCGGAGCAAGCCACCAAAATGAGCATTAACACAGAAGAAGCAAAGCCCCATCAACCCGCAAAGAAACCAAACCACATCAATCTATTCCTCTTGCTCTTGAACTGCCCGTTGCTCACAGTCGGCCAGGTGGCGGGCCCGTTGCTTTCCCGGATGTACTTCCTCCACGGCGGCAAAAAGCGGTGGCTCTCCGCTTGGACCGTCACCGCGGGCTTCCCAATCTTGATCTTCCCCATCACCATAGACTGGGGTTTCTAGTAGCAATTTGAAAGGGGGTTTTGCGACTGGGTTTCTGCAGCGCATCAATGGCGCTGGTCTTTGCGTCCGGGACTTATTGTCATCGCCGTCCTCGTCGGAGAGGGATGGAGAATCGTGACTAGGTTTTATTTTTATTTTTAATAGTTGTAAAATGATGTGGAAATTATAAATATTTAAATTTTATTATTTTTTTAATGGTCACGTCACTCATTTAACGGTCAACTATAATAGTTGACTGCCACATCAGCAAAAACTAACGGAGACTAACGGAGAGTGACCAAACTTGAACTATTGAACTAATCTTAGTGACCATGAATGGAATTAAATATTTGCAGTGACCAAACATGAACGGTTTTAGTAAACCCAGTGACCATCCTTGCAGTTAACCCATTTTAAGACAAACAAAACAAAATGGAATGATTACATTTATGTATGATGGGCCAGTAGACCAACTGGCTGAAGCGCCTGTTGTATAGCGCGTACATGTTTGAGGACTCGGGTTTGAAACTTGGTCTCAACAATTTTTGGGATTTTCGTTTTTATTTCAAAGAAAGGGGAAGAGTAGCTTGGTAATCACACAAAAACTCGGTGGCAAGGGTGTGTAAATACGAAAAGGGATAGAAAGAGAAACAGTGTCTCTCTCTAAGCTTTTCTCCTCCTAACCAACTCTCGTCGTCTTCACTGAAATCCTCTGTTTTCTATTCCCAATTCGCTCCAAATTTCTCGTCTTTTTGTTTCTGGGTTTAATCGGATCAATTCAGTTGAAGATTCCACCTGAAAGTAAGGGAAGAAAGTTTTGATCTTCCTCCCTGGTTCTCTGCTTCCGCCGCCGTATCAGCCGCTGCCGCCTCCGTCGCCGCTGCGAGCACCCCTTTTGCCTCTCGGTTCTTGTTCGGCTTTTTTGCAGTTGTGATTTCGTTTTGTGTAAAGTGAAATGATGAGGTGAAGACCATCTCTTTTCCCCTCTGGTTCCATAATCAAAAGAAGACGCCATTGAAGGAAGCGGGGGGATTCGAATCGACGGGGGCGCTCTAGTCGTCTAGATCGGCGGTAGCGCATGGGACACACCCGAAAATGATGAGATTGGAATTGGATCGCTTGGCGGGTCGAGAAATTGGGTAATTTGCAAAATTGGGGGCAGATCGTTATGAGGTTGGTCTAGGTCGCTGTTGGGACTTGGCAGCAATGGAGGAATCGGAAGAACATATCTTGGGGAGTACTCAAACATTTTGCATCTCGTCGGCGACCAGAACAGGAGCTCGTCCATGGTCGTGGCCGGCGACAAATCGCAGGCTTGGTTAGACTTTGGAGTCACCGGCTGCGGCTCGGCGGTGCATTGTTACAGGGAAGTTAAACGATTTACGTTACCGCTATTTTTTTTTTATTATTTTAGCATTTTCTTCTCTTTTTGGTAATAGTTTTTACTTTTTTTCGTTTAGCATTTTCTTAGTCTAGAGTAGTTGAAAGGTTTTATTGGTTCTTTATTTAGTATTTAATTAGATTTGATGGTTTAGTTTCTAGGGAGTTATTAGGTTCTCAGTATAGGTGTTCAATTTTTCAATCCTATTAATGGCCTATAATTATACGATAAATTCGTCTTTCGCTAGTTCAAAAGTTTCCGCTCATTTTCATAAAATTGATTATGATGGTTCCTTCATTTTCGTTCGTTTTATTTTATTGCTTTTCTTTCACTTAACTTAAAAAAATATTAGTTTGACATAGTTCTCAATTCGGAGTATCCGACTAAGCCTTACTGGCTTGTTTAAGTCCATTTGGTGGAGCTTAGTTGTCCTACGGAGGGGACTCTTGTGTTTGTTTTTTTTTTTTTGTAGGGGTACGCAGACGAGCTCCCGGTGTCGGAGAGTCTTCCTCAGACAGGTGACTTGGCCCATGATCGGGATGGAACTATCTTGCAGGATGCTCAGAGCTTGGCTTTTCTCTTTAGTTGGGTTTTTTTACTGTTTTGTTGTCCGTCGACTCAATAGGGCTGCCCATCTTGTGGCATAAAAGGCCCTCTCATCGGGAGTTCGACTATTGGTCGACTCCCGCACTCTTTTTATTTTCTCTCTATGTCTGAATTTATTACAACTGACTTTGCGAAAAAAAAAAAAAGTGTGTAAATACGCCGTAACCCTAGGGGATTTTGTTCATTTCTAGAGGTCAGGTATATATACCTCTCTACAAACCCTAAACCTAACAGCCTCCGCCCTCTCAACTCTCGGCTCTCTCTCCCTCATCTCTATTCAAACGGAAAAAAAACCCCTAAGCAAAGCGTCGCCGCTCACTCCTCCCTCTCGCTTCTCGACCTCCGATCCCTCTCTTCTCTTCCTAGCTCTCGCACTTTCTTCTTCTCTATCCCAGAAAACAAAAACCCTACCCTCCTTCTATGTCGCCGCCATCCCTCCTTTCGATCTCTCTGTTTCTCGCCTCTGCCTCAAGGAAACGAAAACCTAAATCTCATCACAAACCACCTACGGCCGCAAAAACGACGACGAAGAGAAAGATGACCTGAATTGACTTCAATCGACTGAAGGCATATCGATGCAGGTGAAGTTTTTGCTTGCATGTTATTTTCTTTTGTTTTATTTGTTGATTTTGAAGAGTTTGAGGGTTCTAATCGCTTTTGATTTGTGCTTTTTGTGGGGGGTTTGGATCTGGATTGACAGAAAGAAGGGAAATAAATCACCGCCGCCGACAGACGACGATGGTTGAGGAGAAGGCACGACAGAGGTGGAGGATGGATCCCTCGGCGATGGCGGCGATGGTGAGTGAATCCTAAGTAAGTTTCACGAGTTGCATGTTCCGATTCCTGGTTTTTTGTTGATTTGAGGTTCTGATGTATTTTTTTTTTGTTTTCTTTGGTTTTTGACTGGAGAAAAAACGGAGGATGGCGACGGACCTAGACTCCGCCGGCGACGAACACGGTGTTGGTTTGACGAAGGCTATCGTAGGTATGAATTTTATTTTTGTTTCGGTTTAATACCTCTTTAATATATTCTGACCTCTACTTTTGTTTTGATGTAGTTTTTGGAAATGGAAAAATCTAGGTAAGGTTGTCCTAAACTCGGGTTAATATGATTGGGGTGGTTAAACTAGAAAAAGGAAAGGATTGTGTTTCAGTTCAAATTTTGTTTACAGATCTGTGGTTTGAAAATATGTTGTATGTGTGTTTGATGAGCTCGAATATTTTCATGCTTGGTGGTTTGGTGGATGGTTTTAGAAGTAACTCCTAATATGCTAGAATTTGCTAAAATAAATTCTGGGAAAGTAATTAACAAGTTCTAAAATCACTATTTTCGGTAATTGTAAATCACTGCCTCTGCTTGTGATTTTGCAAGGGTTTGAAATCTGAAATTTTATTGTGTTTATGGTGTTTTTGTTGGCTTTGGTTTTAAAACGAAAATCATATTTGTTTCTGTTTATGAAATCTTGGCGATTAAAAGCTGTATGTTGGTTCAAGTTATAGGTTCTTAAAAAGAAATTGAAATTTGACTAAAGTTTAACACGATCTTTACCGAGAAATTAGGCTAATGATGGTAACTAAAGCAAACGGATTTAGACAAGGGGTACAAGTTATTGCTGCATAAACTGCGTTCAATTGAAATAAATCGGATATATGCAGATTGCGGTAGTAGTATATTGCTTAAATAAAAACTGAATCGATGGCTTGAACTTTAACGAGCTCAATTAAGTAAATAAAGCTGATAGAGATAAACAGCAAACCAGATGGATTATTAGTAAAACGAAGATCAAGATTACGAACACCAACCTTGTTGGGATTTCTTACTCTAAGAATGCCCCTCTTTATGCTCCTATCTCGCAAACCTCCGAACTGAAATGAATTTCTCCAAACAAAAAGAAAGAACCAGATAGTCTTCCAATTTTATGTTTCTGTCGTGTCTTCTTTTCTTCTCCCCTCCCCCCCCCCAAAAAAAAATGAGAGCTGAAGAGCCTCTTAAATAGCAAAAACAATGCCACGTGTCGCACTCTGATTTGAGCATTTCTTTATTCCGACTTTGAAAGATGTGTCTGGTCGGCTGGATAAGATATGGTCAGAACGAATTGGTCAAGGTCGGTTTATGGTTGGTTTTTGTTGGGCCGAGTTGGGCCCAATCTGGTTTGTGTCTGGGCTTGAAATGAGTTTGGCCTTATGCTTTTTGGACTTGAGCTACTTTGGTTTCAGCTTAATCTAGGACCTGGAATATGGGCTTGAGAACTGACTAGTTTTTCTCTTCTATTTCAAGTCCATGGTTTATAATGGAGTGGTCTTGTAATCGCATATGTATAACTTGTAACAACCTATTTAATTACTATTTTTCTTTATTATCGATGTAATTCTCGATGAAATGTACAATGAAAGAAATGCAATGGCAAAGTATGTTTTTTTGTATATATTGATTTGTTTTTAATAATTGTAATCTATATCGAATGCCAAACCATGAGTGTACTAAATTCCTAATGACTTGAAATTGACAATTATGAGCTATATTGACTCGCTACCGATAGTCTCAACCAATATCGACTACACTTTCTTTTCAAATATAATTGTAGCGCAATGCTATAATGAATATTTTTTGTTAGGAGAATGATTATACCAGACAAAAATGTGGTGTCTACAATAACTATTCACTTTAATATGATTAGAGTAGACTAGAGATTCTATAAACTCTTAAAAGAAAATCCCTTGACTCATTTTTGCTTCATTTAAAACAAAAGCCTTTAAAACTGAGACCGATATTCGAGTATTCCTTGGATACCAAGGAACAGAGGAAGACAGGCTCTGATACTAAATGTAACACCCTAACCCGGCCGGGTACTACTTTTACTAAAATGCCCTTGAAAAATAAAATAGTCAAATCTTAAATTGCAGCGGGAAAATTTTCATAAATAAAATACCGAAAACACACTCTTGTAGTTCAAAGCAACGCCTTAACACATAGGCAAACTCAATACTTAAAATCTCAAAGTGATCTCCAGTCTATACTCATAACCATAAATGTAAATAACTAATAATCTCTAATGTTGTTGCTACTGAATCATTGACTAAGCATCCTCTGTGACGCCTATACTGCCCTCCTCTAGCTGGCTGCCCTCGAACTCGCTGCTCACTAACTGCTCCTCTAGCTCTTCAAACTGGTGAGTGAGCTGGGGTCAGTCTACGCCCTTACGTTTAAAATCTCAAATATTTGAGCACTTTTACTTAAAACACTTACCTTAACTGGTTTCTTACTTACACCCTTAAAAACATTAACTCTTAAGACTGTGTTATCTCATCCTTTATCTTATTGTGGGGCCCCTACCTCGACTTAGCTGGCGCCACTACTAGCCTTACTTAAAAATGGCTACCCTCACAATGGGGTGCCTCTCAAACTGAGTTTTGACTACCGCGTTCCGTATCGCCGTCCGGTTGCATACCTAAAACTTGGCAATGGAAACTGCGTTACGTATCGCCGTCTAGTTTCATGCCTGATCGACTGCTGCGGTACGTATCGCCGTCCAGTAGTGATCCCTCGTGAACGTGGCTAGCTAAGCGAGGTTAACTTTTTCTTACTCATGACTTTCTCTTGCTCTCATCACTTTAACTTAACCGTCAAACGAAATATAAAAGCTTTAATTATGTACTCAAAGCTCATAAACATATCATCCAAACTATAAACAAAATCAATCACACAATTTCACATAAACCAACTTATTGAACACGTATAAGGCAAATACTTGAAAAATACTTAAGGCGTAGAATTTACACCCGTGAACACTCACCTATTAAATCAAGTCGAACCATCTTGAACTATCCATCAACTTAGTAGACCGCCCGAGGTTAACTCCTTTGTCGAGATGCACCCATCACTTGGCCTTGGATTGCGTCAACTATATACGTAGTAAGGCTTTCGTTACTGGTAATTCCCAAATAATTAGCATAGTAAATTCATAGGTTCAGTTTTGTAATTGTTTCCCCTGCTGACGACACCAACTCAAAGAGTTACCCACATTCTCATTCGTCCCTTTCCTTGCACATTATCCACACACAATGACACAATGACGTGTTCCCATCCTCAAATATTTATGCTCAAGGAATCCGTGTCCCTCTTACCCCAAAACTTATAGCAATCCATATATATTTAACATACAAGGGAACGTCCACATTCTGCCATCTTTGTAAAGAGTAGAAAGGTAGAGCATAAGTTCGTCTTACCTCCGTATCATTGCTCCCCCGATTGACCGCCAACTGTCCGAATCTGCCCTCCCCGTCGACTACTAGCGCTACCGCAGTCTCCCTCTGCTCGCTCCCCAGCAAGCCTTCTCAAGAATACGGCTCTTGACAGTCTCTTTGTGTTCAAACTTTATAATAATGTATTATTCAACCATTACATTAACATGCTCAGCAAAATATACAAATGTTCTTTTCATATCAAAAAATAAAACATACAAATGATTTTTCCTCAATATCCCTTCTTTCAAAATGTAAAAAAGTAAATTATCCATAATAATATCCCTTCTATATAAAAAAAAAACTTGAGATGGATGGCAATTGCCTAATCTAGAGTTCTGCAAAAATTTCAATATTTATCTCAATATTTATAAGAAGGTTGATTCGATGACATTTGTAGTGTGCTATAAAATTCTTTGAGTTTGATTTATGATAAGGCTTGAAAGGATAATAAATCATTTGCAAAAACGAATAGGAAGAGCATGAAGGACGAAAATTGGTATTTTTCATTTTGTAATTTTAGTCTAGGATATTTATATGTTAGACGAAGCTAAGAGTTTTTGAGTTTCAACTCCTACGTCATAAAAGTCAACAAAAAACTCAACAATATAACCTATAAGGCTATAACGGCTCAAGATAACTTAGATAAGGTGCATAACCCATGGTTATGCACCCATCAATAATCAAGTCTTGACCCTTCATTTAGAAAATCCAGATATAAAGATGAAGAATTAAAGACCATTTTTATTTTCCCTAGTTTTCTTAATTGACTCATATCTTTTTCGTTTTAACTCGGATTTTAATTTTTTTCCACAGATGGAACGAATTTATCGTGCTCTACAAAATGAGATCAATTTTCAATATTTTTTGAGAAAAACAATTCTGGCCTCTCGGTACCAACTGCATACCATATGGTATCTTCTTCGTTTTTGAAAACGTTTGCAAAGAAGGGACGAGTTCATCATGATCTATTGGATCTACAAATTTTTGAGTGAACAAATTACAGGACCAAAAAATACCACACAATACCGTACAATACCACCCTGGTACGGGGTGGTATCTTGTGGTATACAATGTTAAAAGTCGTAAATGACAATTAATATACTTCTACTATCATGTATTCAACCATCCTACAGTCTTGGTTTGTTCATACCACCATGGTACGCTTTTCAAATCATAGGTATGCTCTTATTTCAATACCAGTCAATACTATATGGTATAGACTGGTAAAAAATGTCTCAATTTTTTTTGTTCGAAAAATATATCAAAGTGAATATCATTTTGAAGAGCACAATTAATCTGATCTAACTGTGCAAAAAAAAAAAATTAAATTTTGACTTAAAACGAGTGAGAAATTGTTCGTCAAAGATTAAGGAGGGGAAATTAAAGACTTTCCAGGAGAGAGGATGCTGATGTCATGCTAATGTGGACGGGTTACTCACCATAAGGTTACTGACATGATCCATTCTCGACTATAAGGCCAAGTCCAATGCAAAACCCCAAATTTGGAGGCCTTCATCCCCAAATTTGGGGATTCATCTCCATTTTTCCTTCTTTTGCTCCAATGCTTCAATCTCCATATTTGGGGATTTTCATTTTTCTAGTTTTTCCATTTATTTAAAAATGTACTTATCGTAGCCTTAATATAATTTATTCATGTTAATTTTTGTATAGTTCGTCATCATTTTTAATTACAAATTTTTCGATAGAATTTTGTTTAATTCCGAGTCCGAATTTTGTTGGCAAAAAATTATGTACCTAATTTGGGTTTACACACAACACTTGAAAATGATTGATCTAATTAAATCCCTAACTAATGCCCCTAATTAAACACCCAATTAACCCCTAAAATCTTATAAAGAAAAATAAAAGCCACATGGCGGGCTTTGGTGAGTCTCTATATTTGGGGGATCCCCCATTTCCATCCCCAAATTTGGGGTTCCATTTGCAGGATCCTCCATTTTAGAAGGCCCAAACCTCTCCATTGGACCATCTCCTCCTTCATTTTTGCAGATTTCCCCATAAATGGGGTGCCCATTGAACTCAGTCTAACCTACTAAAGAACCTAAACTCTAAGTAAACATATTACAGATTATCCCATAATCAGTCATTTTTCTTCTCTGCATCCTTTGGAAATAAGGGGTGGGGTTATTTTTCCTGAATGACTATATCTCGCCCTAGTTCTACTTTTATCGCCCTAATCTAATACATACAATTACTAAATTATCCTTTATTAATTCATAATTAACAAAAACAAACCGCCCCTCCCTTAATTCTTCATCTTCGTCGAGAGAGCGCGGCTAAATTACCCTCTGCCGGTGCGACCTCTGCACTCCAAACGATTTCCACCGCCGACCACCTACACTCCAACCGACCCCTTCACCGTGGACGGAGAGCACTCCAAACGCCCCTCTTATTTCTTGCCGCCATCGTGGTCCTCCATGAACACGCCCTCTGCTCCTCTGCACTGCCGCAGTTGGCATGTATTCCTATAGATTTGATAATTAGGGTAATAGTTTATCAGATTTTAATTGGCTGTGTGTTAGGTGATAGTAATTCCATGCTAGATGCAATTGTTATCAAGTTCTTTTCTGTCTTTTTATGAACCACACTGGCCACCATTTTTCACTTTGCCGGAGGTCGGAGGTGGGTAGTGGTGGTGGCGGCAGCCGGAAACGGCGGCCGAAGTAATTAGATTTTAATGGTG